GGCAGCTTGTACTTGCTTTGGATATCCCTATTCAACACCATGTACACGATTTCCTCAGCAGTGCAAAGCAGGTAACAATTTTAATAATTTATTTCTTTTACTGACACTCCTTTATATTCTGTTTTACTGACTCCTACATGGAAAGGATTCACTGGTGTAGCAAAGCGTTTATAAAGAACTTCACTGAAATCAGTTTGACTTCACATGGAAGTAGTGAAGTTGCCAGAAAAGCTAACCTGTTTGAAAAATCTACTACCTATAAAATTTTTATTCTGTGTATAAAACTTCACAGGCACATTGTTGTACCTTTCTGAAAGGATTTGAAGTAGTAGAAGAGCTGTAACAGTTCTGACCTAGCATTATGCTGTGTCTATCAAACTTAGAGCCTCAAGGATCACAGTCATGGCTTGTCAGGTTTGATGTGGAGCTGGTTAAACGTAGTGTCACTGTAGGTTACCTGGGGCAGTGCAGAGAATGCTTCTCTCCAGTTGGCTGAAAGCCCTGTGGTATCTGTCTATCTATCCAGCAAAATACTGGAAAATAATTCATGATGTAGACTTCCAGTGAGTGAGTCATGGGTTCTGCCTTTTCCGTGTTAGTGCTTCGTAACTATGAATGAGAAACCAGCCATGCTTCCCAAGGGCTGCAAGTTCTTCACAACCTCCTGTTCCTTCCACATGTTGCAATACACAAACCACACACAGTGATAGCTGAAAGCCCCCTAGTTCCCAGCTGCAGGACTTCAGCACCACAGCAGCTCATCAGGCAGTCCAGGCCTCACTGTCATGTGGTCTTCTGTTATCTGACCCAAGGATTTCCAGTGGTGGCCCCTGACTCCCCCTCAGCAAGCCTTTGGGGAGGCCAATGCCAAGGGTGGATTCATGTTCCCTTCCTGATCCCTTTGTTGGAGAGCATTGGGATACCTTCCCCTCCAATTGCTGTTCTCACTGCTGTGCCTTGCTGCTCAGCCTCCAGCTGAAATTGTGCTCAGCAGGGAGAGGAAGAAGTGGATAGAGTAATTCAGAGTTATAAATCAAGCGACAAATGCAGAGCCCTTCCTTTCTAATTTGCATCAAGTCCAACAAACTGTATGCTGTTGCCTCTGCCTGACTTCAGGCAGACCGCTAAGATGAAGACCACATCGTTGACTAAACGGCTCTTGTGCAATCAAGATTCAGATCCTGTTGAAAAAAATAGACTTCAGCCTTGCTGAAGAGTCACATTAAGAAGCAGCAAGAAAAACAGTGGACAGAACTCTCCCAGAGCTGCGTGCAGCTGAGGGAACAGTGCAGGATTCTTGGCCGCAGAGCTCTTTTCCAGGACACGCTAGCAAAGACAAACAGCCCTGGGCTCTGGTAATCTTCATCCAGTTTGAAAGGAGGCTGTGCAGGCCAGAGTTCAGAGAGATCTTCTGTCCCAGAATGTTCATCAGTCCTAGAGCACATCGACTGCTGTCATGGCATGGCAAACAGAACCCGAAAACCGACTGTGGTTTTAGGGCCTTCGAACTGCCATGACTCTAATGACATGTTACAGAAACGTGACATATAAGATAAGGCATGTATGTAGAGAGTAACTGACGAGCTGCAAAAGCCTCTGTGTGACCCTGCATGTAGCTCAGGCCACGTCTTTCTTGATAGCCAGAGGAAAGCACCCTGAGGTGCCCACGTGGACATTAACCTCGAGCTCAGGACACGGTTACGTAACACAGACATAGGACGTGCTGCACCCAGTGTGGGGTTTTAACCATCGCTTCATCCAAGCTGCCCCTTGTTGTTGGAAATTTCACAGTTCAGCACACAGTAAATTGATTCTTTTACTAGGTCAGGCCTGGTAACAGGCATTGATTTATAAGCAGCTTATTGCAACAGTCGACTAAATGGTGTTCCTAAATGGCATCTCTCTCTATGATCAGAGAGAGGATGGATTCTGCTCCTGGTGACACACACCCAGACACAGCCATGCTGGGAGCATGGTGGAGCAGAAAGATTGGTCTCTGCTCTTCGGTAGCATTTTCAGGGAACACCAAATGTTATTTACTTCCTAATCTTCCTACAGAATATAAAGAATTGCTGCTCTGGGCTATTTCAGAGAGATAATGTGAGTGACTCACTTGAGTTGTATATTGACCTCAGGCACTGTAAAGATATATTTAACAGCGCTTAAAAAAACTATTAATGCAGATTTCTGTACTTCTGAAGATCCCTAGAGTGCACTTCAGAGATTTTCATGAAGTGTTAAACCACACATATTGGGCCAAGCCTCATGTTATTTGTTATTATTAGTCAACACACCCCTAATCATTGGTCATATCATCTTTCAGGATGTATTCTCTATGCTAAAGCAGCTTCTCAGTTCATACTTACAGTCTTAATTTGCCTATGCATAACAGCTCTGTAAGAACCGTATTAATTATAATCAGTGACAGATACATATTAAACCCTATGTTCAAACATGGAAGTAGATGCTGTGACCAGCTCTTATCTCTAAACCCAGAGCTGAAACCAGATCTCAATTCCCACAAAGTCTTAAAGTGTTTAGCTACGGACCTGGATTCAGCAGGTCTGGTTTTGGCTTGTGTTTAATTTTAATAACTACCCACAACTATATTTGCATTCTTTTTGTGTTTTGCCAGTCTGAACACTTGATGTTTTGAAGCAGAGATTTTGCTAGGCAGGGAAAGCACTTCTGCCATGTTGCCTACATGTGTTACCTCCTGCGTGAGATGTCTGGTCATAGATTCTCCTTTCCACAAGTGAGTTTTAAAGACAAACTTTCTCAGGCTCTGCTCTTGCCTGCAAATCATCTGCTTCATCCTTTAAGTTTCTACAATTTTCATTGCACCCATCTGAGGTCACCTACCTCACACCCAAGGGCCTCATATTCCCTCCCTCTCCTTGCCTTTCAGTTGTCTTTCAGATTCACCAGGTCACAGTACATCAAAATACAGAAATCTCTCCTCCATGTCCTGCTTTTGGGGGCCGAATAGCACTTCCATTTCACTAGGGTGATCCCCAGACCTCACAATAAGTGAACCTGGGCCCTATGTATGTGGTTACCCAGCAAAGTGTTGCTGGGTTGTGTTGCAGACACAAGCATGAAGAAGACAGCCCAGAATGCGGAGTCAGTCCCACTGAAAACACAGAGCACAGCTACTTTTGGCCTGAAGGCCAAAATTCCAGCTGCCTATCACTTAATTTGGTACTGCACCTCTGTGAGGGAGTGATGGACAGGTTCGGTGAACAGAGAGTTTGGGGTGATGTGACAGGAAGGGATCACAAAATCAACAAAACAGGGCTCAACAGGGATCACCACAGCATTTTGCATGTGAGCAAGGAAGTGCCTACAGGGAACCATTATGGAGAAAACTCCAAAACCCTTTCAGGAAATCAGCATGCTGGAAGGGCCTCTCTGAAGCACCTGCATGTTAATGCACACAGTATGGGGAATAAACACAAGTTGGAGATCTAAGAGTCCCAAGGGATAAGGCCCTGGAAGAAAGAAGGACCCAAGCAAGCTGGTTAATATCTGAGGATAACCCCACCCAAGCTCAAGAGCATGCCTATGGTGGTGCATCTGCCTTCCTGCTCCTCCCCAGGCCAAAGAAATGCTCATTAGACCATCTGCCTCTGAGGAAGACACATCTCAGAGCTAGTGAACTCTCAAATTTGCTATAATTGGTAGACTACTAGTGAATTCTATCATTGGATCCTGGGCTGATACTCTCTCTACTCTTCAAGGTTCAACCCTTCACCGGTTGCAAATATATTCAACACAAATACTTCACTGAACTTGAGGGGAATTTTTCACAAGAATATACCTTGTACATACTTTTTAGGCCTGTGTGCATGTGAGTGTGAATATGCTATAGTAAATGTACTACAAATGTTGCTCTCCTAGATTAAGTATGTTAGATGTGTTAGTAAGATAGTCTTGTGAGTTACTGTGCTTCTTGTCTAGAATCTCTTGTTAAGTTGTTTAAGTTAGGCTAGCAATTAAGTGCTGTTAAGTTTAAGTGCTGTTAAAACAAAAACTGGTGGTCATCTGGGACTCAGTTTGGCAAGAAGATCCACTGAACTGAACCCTCACTCTGACTCCATGGGAGGGTCTCCTTCATTCCTTTTTATCCTTATCCTTTCTCCTCCTTACCCTTTTTCCATCCCCAGCCTCTATGCAGATCATTTTAGGTTGATTTGTTTTAGATAGATTCATTTTAGTCTGTTTTTTCTCTGTGTTCTTTAGCTATCTAGTAAGCAGGAGAGTGAACCTTGCCAACTTTCACTTTTACATTAAACCTGCTTTTGCCAATACCTTTGCCAGTGATTCTTTGAGTGACCTAAAACATTCATTCACAGCAATGCCAAGGACTCAGAATTTGGGCAAAACCACCAGGAGACCTGTGTGGACAAACAAAGAGCTCCTGGCCCAACTCAATGCACAAAAAGGAAGTATACAGAAGATGGAACAGAAGATGGGTATTCTGGAAGGAATACAGAGATATTGTCCAGTCAACCAGGGATGAAGTTAGGAAAGCTAAGGCCCAGCAGTACTTGAAGCTGGCAAGGGATGTCACGAACAATCAATAAGAAGGGCTTCTATAAGTACAGAGCAGACAAAATAAAGACTGGGGAACATGTGGACCTGCTGCTGAGTACGACAGGGGACTTGGCTATGCAGGACATGCAAAAGGCTGAAGTATTAAATGCTGCCTTGCCATTTAAGCTTAGACTCCCTACTGTGTGAATCTGAGAAGGGAAGAAAGACAACTCCATTTCTCTCCACTGAAAACAGAGAAGGGAGATATTTTAAGCAAGATAGCACGTGCTTTACTGTCTTTTCTTGGTTTCATTAATTAGTCCTATTTTTGTTGTTGTTTTTGTAAAGTGTAATGGTACTTTAATGGTATATCTGCAAACACTTCAATTTCTATTTTGTTAAATGCACCAAAGAATGATTGGCCCTTCACAAAACCTGAAATGTACTCAGGCAGATTCTGGGAGTGGTAATAAAGACTAGGAATTTAATAGCACTCTAATACACAACATAATGTTTGCTATTCTTCTAATCAGTGCATTGCAGAATGAATACAGAAAATACAACTGGGATTGCACAGATTTAAGTATTTATTACAAGAGGTGATGAACTATGAAGCTTTCAAGATTGACATAAAATGCACTGAGTTAATTGATTCCCCTTAGATTCCAATGGGCTTTGGCTGAGTCCCTTAATGATATTAAAATCCATCTGTTATTAAACATCATGTTTAATAAAACAGTATGCAAATGCTGGGATTTGTAAATACCATTATGCAAAAGTTCAGGTCCAATCATGCTCCTCTTGAAGTCTGCAACATAAATTATGTGGACATGAATAAGAATAGATCTGTGATATCCATTTTTAATTGCACTGTATACAAGTATTGACAGAAGAATACAATACAGTAGTCACAAAATTAAAGAGGTTTCTATGAAACCTACAAAGAATAGCAGCAGAGAATCAATGAAGTAAAAGCGGTATTTAAAAAAAAATAATAAATGACTTGGCAGTTTTGGAAAACATACAGAAAAAAAAGACAAATGAATTGGCACAGTTTAACAACCTAATTTCTAAGTGCACTTCATAACAACTCTCCCTACAAGCTGCTGTTTTCCCAGAAGATGATGACAAAAAGCCTCATTAGAAGATCACTGTTTTATAGTGACAGATTTTATTGCATTGCCAGCTGTGAATCTAAAAAGAAAAAAAAAGACATCCCCCCTAAAAACTCCTATAAAGGTTCCTAAAAACCCTGTTTTCTTTTGTTATCGTCAAAAAATAGCAACATAGCACTTCCATGTTTGTGAATACCCACAATTCTATTTTTAAAAAAAATAGAAGTTAAAGAAAAGTGATTTTTGTCTTAGCTTCAAAAATAATGTAAAGAAACATTTAAGAACAAGGTATTTCAATGATCAGAGAGATATGTACAATGTGAGAGATTTGAGTCCAATCCTGCAAATACATGTCCATGAATCAGACTTAGAACCTGTTGATCCTGAGTAACTGTAATTATGAATGGGCAGGATCAGGCTCTTGGCTTCACCCATTATAAGCTTTTTCACAATCTGTCCTAGGCTAAAAAGTATAGATACAGTATATGTATACTGAGTCATACAAAAGGTCCTTTACAGCTCTAACCCTGTTATTGCTAGGCTAAAAAACCCGAGTATTTCGGAACAAATTACATTAATCATAAAGGGTAAAATTGAGATGCAGCTTCTGATGACTGAATTTCTACTTGAGCCATTTTAAACTGGGTACACTGTAGCCATTTGCGGAGCACAGACGAGCTATTGTTCATTTGTCCTGACCCCTGTAACATCCTTAGGCTGTGATGGTTGACATTGCTCTGGATGGCTTGGAGGCGTAGCTGGAGTCCAGCAGATAAATGCTGTTGAAATAATGCAAAACATTTAGTATCTTTCCTGTAATACACACATTAATAAAGCATTGTGAAAGTTACTGGTTGTTGGCCCCAGTGTCAGATTTTTTTCTTCTACGTCCTGCATTGTAGTGTTGCCATGAAAGGCAAATGTGCTTACAGAAAAAACTCCATACTGAGACCAACTCCAAGATTTTTTTCTCAGCAACAAAATTCTCACAAACCACACTGATCCACCTTGTTCTCTCTTACAAAGAGAGCCAGCTGGCACAGTTTCACTCAAGCAAACAGGCCGGCAATATCTGCTTGAGGACTCAAATCTATCTCTTGAGTCAAGAGTCCCAATACTGATTTGTCAAGGGACTCTCAAGCCTAAGACATCAAGAAAACCACAGCTCAGGGAACAATAAATCTCAGGAAATAGGGAGGAAAGGCTCCAATGCAGAACCTGGTTAGAGTAAGGTGTTTCAGAAGGGACAGTGAGAGCAATAATGATTACAGGGCAAGTATGAACAGCCAGTGATGCTCTATGTATGCTCACACTTGAGACCTTCATCTGGATATGCTACAATGATCTAGTTTCAGAGAGTATGGAGATCACATGCAGTGCTCTTATTTCCAAAATTTACATAAATGTTTAACAGTAAAAATAAAAGGATAAGGTAATAGAAACAACTTACCTTTAGGTTTGACTGTATCATTGGCAACCACATTGGTATGAGCTGTAAGAAGAGAGGTGTATTTTGTTATTATACAAGTGACTGTAAACAGTTACAGTAAACAGCTCCAGTTACTATGAGATAGAGAAGGATATATCTAATGCATTTAGCCATTTGAACTGACATAGTCTGAACCTGAAAATGTGGTTATTTAAAAATAACACATGTTTTGGGGCAGGTGACTCTCAGAGGTTTGTTGATAGCTTGATATGTCACCAGTAGCAATTACTGAAATCCTGTTTAAGGCAATGATGAGAGTACAGAATAAAACTTGTTAAAGGAAATCACTTCTTATCTTCCTTGTGAGGGTGTTTCTGTATGTGCAGGTGAGCATAACTGGAGGAAATACAGTAAATGTTCTGTATGGTGAGGTATACGTCAAGAACTGAAAAACGACATGCAGCAGAAGTTCCTAGTAACATGAGACATTCTGTAGGCCTTGGAGCACAGCTAAAAAATGTCCAAAACAACGAAGTGAGAAGGTCTGCAAATCTGTCACCCATGATTGGACTGGATTGCTATGCATTTCAGACTCCTTTTACTTCTGAGGAAGTGTAACGTGACAAGCTTAGGGAAGACAGAGAGGCATTTCTAGGAGAATGATTCGTGTTTTCCAATATCAATTTAACCACTGAGATTACTGCTCTCAAATGTTCCTCCAAATGGCATTAAAATTTGCAATTTGCCAATTATGTTACCTGGAGCTGCAAGTTAAAACTAATCACTATTGACAACATTAGATAAAGTGCTGTTTCCCTTGTGCAAGGAATGATTATTATTTCAATTTCAGAGCTGTTTTGCTGGAAAATCACACGCAGCTCTGTCAGGACTCATTACTTTGTCTATCACACGAAGAGCCATAGTCAAACCTCAGCATTTACAGATAGATGAATGCCAGAACAGCTGGAATGCAGCCAGATGCAGACATGTGAGCTCTGTACACCCTTCTGTGGACTCTCACACTGATGAAGTGCTTAATAAGATCCAGTGACCACAAGTCCTGATGTGTTTTTTGGTGAGGAGGGAACAGGTAAGCCTACTGAGAAGCCATACTCCACTGCCATCAACAAAATGTCACTGAAAATTGCATCCAACATCAATGAAGTTCCTATGGAGCTAGCCAGTGGTGACAGGGCTGGTGTCAGAAGTATGTCAAGCAAGAAGGGAAGCTAGGTGAAAACTTAGGGTACCCTTCTGTATCTGAACCAATTCACTGGTCAAATTTTACAGTCGGTTGAGAGAACCAACCACTTTACATCCAGTTCATCTTGTCCCAAAGCAGGTATCTAAAATGGATCAAGATGAATCACGTCCAAAAATACTGTTTATCTCCACTGACTCTAAAGGGCACTCATGGAAACTAGCTTATATCAGTATCTCTGATGGAGAGGTGTAAGGTTAGATACAGATCTTTGTCCTCCAGTGCCACTTCTGTCTTCCAAGGTCTGGACACATTTAGAGAAATGAAATGTTCTGCTGCAGGCATAAGCAAGCAAACCCTCTGGTGCTACAGCTGCCAGATAAATAAGTGAGAGAAGAAGATGTTTTTATTGAAGCACTTGAGTTTTGTTAACTAATCCCCAGACAGTCTTTTCTGCACACAGGAAGAATACAGAAAGCTAGTTAGAAAGAACAGCTGGAAGAACAGAGTGCTGTCAGACACTGTCAATTTTTTTGAGTTTATCTTTTCAGCAGAATGATATTGATTCCAATGCAAGTTTTGATGGAAAGCAGGCTGTAGAACAGGCTGGTCACTGTGCTGTTTTGGCTCCCCAGCTCAGCTGCATGCCCAGTTCTCTAGAAAGCTGTACTGTAGCTAGTCCATAATTCTTCCAGTTTTGTACCATGAGTTATGACAGATGCAAATATCAGTTATTATACAGCTATTATAGCAGTTTGGACATCAGAATAAAATTTTCCATGGAAAGGGTGTGGAGTCACTACCCCTGGAGGAGTTCAATTAATGAAGGACGTGGCCATGGTCTAGTTGGCAACGTGGTCATTGGTCAAAGGTTGGACTTGATGATCTCAGAGGTCTTTTCCAACCTAAATGATTCCTAAAGAAAGTGCTTTTCAGGGCACTTACTGTTCAGATCTACAATAAATATTTTTACAACCTGATTTAACATAGTATTGATCATACTCTCAAATATAACCCCCTGAAAGCATTCATTTGAATTGTGACAGGGATTTGGCCCTAAAGGCCTCTCTTCTCACAGCTTTAAAATCAATCTTCATTCTTGTTAAATTTTGAACGTTCTGAACTGGCTAAAAGAGAAGCCCATATGTCTTTCAGGGACAGCCTTAATCAATTTAACACCCCTTAGTGACAGAATTTCTGTAGTGAATCAAGCCATTACTGACTATAGATCTGTATTTTCACAATGAGTGTGAATACTTTCAATGCCAGTTGACATAAAGGCCTTCAGTTTTAGCTACTTTATTTTCAATTCTTGCTTCAGTAAAGCAACAGTCAGAAGTTTCCTTTATGGCAACAGAAGAATTATTTCATAGAATGATTGATGTTAGGGGTTGGAATGGAGCTTACAGATCATCCAGACCCAATCCCCCCTGCCATGGGCAGGGACACCTCCCCACTAGATCAGGTTGCTCAAGGCTCATCCAGCCTGGCCTTGAACTCTGCCAGGGCTGGGGCAGCCACCACGTCCCTGGGCAACCTGTGCCAGTGTCTCACCACCCTTACAGGAAAAAACCAACATATTTCAGTTAGATTCAGAGTATGCTTAACAACTTGATTTGCTGATATTTTAAATGAAAACTCTTCAGAATAATGCAATGGGAAAACAGGGGAAAAAGGCTAGTAATATCACTTTGTGCTTGTAAGACTACCCCAATCCTTTGGGAATCTGTTCTGCAAACACCGCGGTGACCCATGGGAAACTGAACACCGATCTCCAAAAAAGAACACATAGGGATATAACAAGAAAATCACTGTGGCTTTTGTTATCTATCTAAACGAATGTGAGGCTCAGAACAGTGAGGTGATCTGCAAAGGACCTATGATGATTGAAAGACGCAGAATGGTGAAAATTCAAACACTAGCTTGAAGTTCTCAAAGTCAGTGACATCAGCAGTGTCTGTTAGAGGAGTAAGACCACTGCAATAATGGAAAGAGGAAGTAGATCAGGGAATCTGAATTTGAGATTATGATCTGGTCTTTTTACCATTATACTAGGCTTTATTTCTGCATTAACATTTGACACCAGTTTCTTCCACTTTTTTTTTGAGTGGGAGGGGAAGGAGAGGACAGTATGTTTAGAAATCACAATAGAGACACAACATCATGAACTAAATATTCACAGTATGGTATGCCTACCTTTACAAAGATGGTAGAGTTGCATTCCTGTAGAGCCTCCATTAAACTGATCACATGCAGGCACACCATTTCTACCATCTTTGGAAAGAAAAAAACAAGCATAAACCAAATTGATGTAGCATGCTAAGCCAAAAATGTCTAAAAAAATCTTCCTGTATTTACTTGCTAGTTATACTGACTCACTAGATGTGCATTTATTAACCACTGACATATAAGATTAAATATTACATGAGCACATACAGGACATTTTACTTTATTTAGTTTTCCCCTAATGCAGTAACATCTATCTGTTAAATATTTCAAGTGCTTGATGTATTTTAATTCATATCACACATCAGAACAAGTTGCCTTCAGCTTTGTTCTCTTCAGACATCATAAATCGTTTTTCATGTCTTTGCTGTGTAGTTCTCATCAATCAGTGTGTCAGAAATTGATACTTTTATTTACTGAATCTTTGAAAATTAACATACTCGCAAAAAACATCTTTTTATCCCCTATCAAAAGTCAATTTATTGCTCTGAACTGGCAGCCAGTCCATAACTCTTCCATTTTGTACCATGAATTATGACAGATGCAAATATCAGTTATTTGGTAGTAGACAGCTTTTTATGTTTTACATTGTGGTAAATTCATAGGTATAAGACAAACACCCTGAGCCAGCAGTATTTACAGTGCCTGTCTAAACTACATGTAAATTCCCCTTGATAATAATAAACTTAGCTTTTATGTTGTGCTTTTCATCTTCAAAGTGCTTCACAAACACTAACTAATTAACCTCACAAACACCCTGTGAGACAGGCAAGTATAATTATCTACATTTCACAGAGCTATAGCTGAGGCAGAGAGTTTAATAACTTGTACTAAAGCCACATAATGATATACTTTCAGAATAAGGATTGGAATTTGGGACTTCCAGGTCATATTCTTGTCCTAAGGCTTGACAAGAAGCTTTTGTGTCTGACTGAACAACTGGCTATTTAGAAATGTTATGTACACTTCCCATTTCTTCAAATGATTCTTCATGAACTATTATTCCCAACAGTGGTTTGTGAACCACAGACCTCACTAGGTGTCAAAGGTGAAAATACCATCTAAAGACAGCTTTAGGTGGTCCTTGCCTGATGTGGATGAGACACAAGGAAGTAGTAGTAGTTCAAGTGCAGCTTATGTAGTTACAATTAAAAGGGCAAGGTCCACACCTGCTTGGGATGGAAGATGTTACACATGGGGAAGGGGGAATTACATAACATAATTTTCATATAGATAGCAGGTCTACACTTAAAAAAGAAAAAAAATTCCAAACAAAGAATGAAAAACCTTGATAGCACCAAAGTTTAAAAACCCAAACCTTAAGAGTGCCTGACTTAGAAGACAGGGCCATGCATAAAGAATCGTCCTCACTCAAAGCTAACATCAGGCCCTCCAGAGCCAGAGCTACTAGTTACCACCTCAGTTAAAAACTGAAATGCCATGATTTTCTGGGAAGTGGGAAACACAATAGGCCTTGTCCATCAGAAACAAGCTCTTAACCCTGAGCCTGTAGGCACAGAGAAACATTAGTCAAGGGGAAGCAAAGGTAGCAGCTATGAGAAGGCTGCTGGAACCCCTCTGGGTTCTTATTGTACAACACTGCTCCAATAGCAGAGAGTATTTGAGATAAAACAATGCTTAAAAGCTACTTCCAAACAAATGGTCTGGATGACTTCTGGACGGAGTGATCATTTCCTGTTCGAATCTCATCTCTAGAGATACCTCCTTCAAGTCATTTATTACTCAAAAATGTTTCAAGATATATTTACGTAGCTTATTTTTGATGAGCAACCAGTGAGTTATGAGTAGTCAAGTGTCAGCAGTTCTGTATATTTTCACCATTACATGGTAAAAAATATTCAAACGGATATTCATTGAATTATCCTAAACCAGTTGTTGCTGTTAGGCAGAGTCAGGTAAAACAACAGACCACGGTGAAGAGCAGGAAGATATATAAAATGAGACTTGATACAAGATTTTAACCCAACAAGCAGCAACTCTAGCCCTTGATTCTGTTTCAGGCAGATTCTGACTATATCCTGTTTCAGGCCCACTGCAGGTTAAACCACTGCTAATGAGCTGCCTCTTTAATTTCTCAGAAGCATCAAAGTTATTTTATGATGTTATTCATAGCCTGTTGTATTCCACTGAAACACTGAAACAGAGCCAAGTCCTCTGAGTTTAATGTGTACTAAATCTGTCTGCAGCACCTGACTCACCACTTTGTTATGTGCCATTAGCTGGAGGATGCTCGGTGTCACTCGGCTCCAGAACTCCAGGGCTGTAAGGATTGCTGTAAAGCTAAATTCATTCTGATTCTGGACTGTCGGAGCTACTGCTGTTTGTTCACAATACACTGTCCAGAGCTGAGCAAATATAAATGCATGGAAGAGGGAACACATGTGCAGAACAGATGTCTGTAGAAAGAGAAAATAGAGGAAAATGTTTATTTAAACAAGTGTATTGGGATACAGTGCAGAGGCTTTCATCAAGGCACTCTGTCATCCCACTGAGCAGTCTTGCCACTGACTTTCCCACATTTCCCTCCCATTAGGAACTAATAGGTCAAGTACACTTGATAACATCTTCTCCATGTTTAAAAAATGGGTTTATATTTACAGACTAAAAACTGCATTTGCAGACACATTCCCATGCAATCTAAGTGTATGGCATTAAGGTCAATCCCCTTGAAAGGTTAGTTTTACAAAACAGGTATTCAGGACTAGTTCTGAGCCTTTCTTGATGGAAAACTTCACTGCAATCTGAGCAAGGCCTGGAGGCTCTGGCACATATGACTCCAGAAATGCTACTGAGGTAAGTCATTCAGATTCTTATCACCTGAAAAGAAGGCTATGGTACAAAATACATGATATTACATCTGTTCTGTTAACCTGTCACCCATTTCTACTTTGCTGGCACTGCTCACAGTCAAGGAAAGTAAGTTTTGAAAAAATGACAGAGAATTCATTTTGCATGCTCAAGCATGGCTCTTTGCTAATCCTTGTTATCTATCACAGTGTCTGAGCCTCCTGGAGGGTTGGACATTAACTACTTCATTACGAGAAAGATGCTTCTGGTCAGAGATGTTTTCTCAGTTTGCAAGTGCAACAGGGATTCATGCTCTGTGGCAGTATGACTGCACCAAACATTGCAATGGTTGCTTGGTAACTGGAAAGAAGTATTTGAAAGAGCAAAAAAAAGGCCAAATAAATGAATGGGAAGCACCAGTGTCTTGGGCAGGTGAAAGGAAAGAAAGGAGGATATTATATACAAGATAAATGTGTGATCATTCTGCTTCTATCACTAATAAAAGCTTGATTGGTGTTAAAGGCTACTGCTGTATTTGTGTCAAACTACTGTCACAAATGTCTTATAATCTGCAGTAACTCTTCTTGTCCTGAGCACCTTGAGAAAAAATGTTGTGCTAGAAACATCACTGGGCAATTATTTTGCTCATAAAATTTACATGCCATCCAATCCTTCTACACAACCAGAATAAATGACTTTCTGAGAGATTTGCTACAGAGATGGTCATTGCTTAAAGCTTCAATTTGGAATTCAGTTTTCACTTCCTCACTCCTGTGCTGAGATGTTTTGAAATAGCTGAACCTCAGACTTAATTGTAGTGATTTCATCAGTTTTCTATGCATG